TTGCCTTAAGCAAGAAATCAGCTCTAGGGTTGTTCCCTAACGGCTCGGTAATTGGGTTTGGACTTTTTTTTTTAAATTATCTTTTTTTTTTTGATTTTACTGCCCATATATTTTTTTCTTTTTGAATTCATTGTTATAAACATAAATAAACTGTATGAAGGTGTGCCCAATTGCCTTGAGCAGGACAACGGCTCTAGGGTTCTACTCTAACGGCTTGGTAATTGGATTTGAACTTTTTCTATTTAAAAATGTGAATTCTCTAAAATATTACTATACATGTTGTGCAATGTTCTCTCTAAATAAAAACTTAAACCACATGAATTCTTCTGAACGTGTTAAAAAAATGTCTCCACAAAATAGAAGTATTAAAAAAAAATCTCGTACTGTTAGCAAGAAAGTTCAGCGTAACTGGAGTGTTCGCGAAAAGCTTATAGTGGTTTATTATTTTGAACGTATTAATAATGTAAGGGCAACCGCAAGGTGATTTGATATTGAACCTAAACAAGTTCATAACTGGTAAAGCAAGAAGCAAGAATTTTTAAATGCAGCACCTTATCTTTTAATACTCAATCCTGGCTGACCAGCCCAGTACCCCTTTTAGAAAGCAAGCTAGTTAAATAGGTCGATGCACTATATAGAAAACAGGTAGCTGTTACATGAAATATAGTTATTAGAAGGGCAAAAACATTGGTTCAAACTAATAAGATAAAGGATGCATATCCTAATATTGGTGATCTTAAGTTTTCTAATAGTTGGCTTTGTAGATTTTTGTATCATAATGAGTTATCAAATCGCCAGCATACAACAATTTCACAGCGCCTTCCTAAAGATCTTATTGAACAACAAAATAAGTTTTTGAGCTTAGTTTTGTTCAAACACCGTCAATACAATTATGATATCCAATATATTGGAAATATGAATGAAATATCTTTGTCATTTGACTTGCCTTACCTGGTAACTCTCGAGAAACATGGGGCTAAAACAGTAAGTATCTGGACAACTAGAAATAAAAAAACCTCTTTTACTATAATTTTGGGATGTCTCGCAGATAGAAGAAAGCTTTCAGCAGTATGCATTTTTAATTTAAAGAACATTTCTGTGAAATTTTTCCTGAAGGCATTGTTATTCGTGTGAATGGAAAAGGGTGGTGCAATGAAGAGAAAATGAAGTATTGGATCAATAACATGTGGTCTAAGCACAGTGAATTAGAAAGCCCCCAATCTCTTCTTATTTTGGATTCGTTTAGAGGTCATACTATAGACCCGTTAAACATCAATTTAATAAAAACAATACCCATACTGTTCTCATTCTGGATGGACTAACCAGTAAATTGCAACCTCTCGACATTGCAATAAACAAAGGTTTTAAGGAAAAGGTACAGTATATGAAATTTTTTATTTTTATTATTTATAAAATATTAATAAAATTTTAAATGATAGGTGCATTTTCGTTATAACCAATGGATGATCAACAACCCTCATCAATTTACACCTTCTGGATATATTCGAAAGCTATCGTATTCTACTTTAGCTCAATGAGTAAAAGAGTCATGGGATAAGATTAATCCTCATTTAATTAAAAATTATTTAAGTATTGCGGTATTTCAGTAGAAATGGATGGGTTTGAAGATGATTTGGTGTTTAACTATGAAGCTTTGGGTGAAGATTTAGAAAATGTGAATGAAGAAAATATTGAAGAGCTTGATGATATTAATGATGAAGAGTATGAAGAAACCAGGGGCAATAATGATTAGGAATAATAATCAAATCTTGGTTTTTTTTTTTAAACCAAATTTTTTTTTCAAATTTTAATTTTTTTTTTTCAAATTTTAAATTTTTTTTGGTTTAAATAAAGCTGATTTGTTTGCTATATAAAGTTTGCTTTCTATTCAATGCAATGCGTATTTTTATTAATGTTTGATATACCGCATTTGTAATGTATTATAAATTAAAATCGTGTTTGCTATATTAAATACATCATTAAATCATTAAATACTGGTAGTTTTTGATATTGTTAACTATATTTTGCTGGTGAACTAAACCAGAAGTATAAGCACTATGCTATAATTGTTTGTAATTATAATGAATTATGGCAAAATTGCTGTAATTCATTATAATTACAATAATTACAGCATTGCGCTCATGTTTTGTATATATTATATTTAGTACGTAATGATGCATAATTAGAAGAAACATATAATACCTGGGTATAAATCATGATCAGGCATTTCAAACTGGTAGAGGTACACTGCACGGGGGTATACATGTCTGACTTTTACAGTATATTATATATTAAAATATTTGTATAAAAAGCTGAATAAGTTTTTATTAAGGAGTGTAAGTAGTTGACTTAATATAATTTTAAGAAAACTTTAATTTTTTTGTTTTTAAAAGGTTTTATAATTAGTTTAATGAGTTTGTAAGTTGATATTTTAAAACTTCTGTAATATATATAAAATAAATAGCAGAGCAAGTTTACTTAGAGCACTAAGTAAGTTTGCTTAATAGTTCAAGAAGTTATAATCATTTTTGTTTTGAGATTTTTTAAAGTTTGTTTTGTGTAAATGATTTATAGAAAGAGTTCTCTCAATTAATTAAAAACTTTTTAATTTCTATATAAGATATAGAATATTCTATAGAATAGGTGAGCAAAATAAGAAATAAGCTTTGCTAATGATTAGTAATTATTAATTTTTTAATAGCAGAGTTGCGGAGTTTGCAGAGTTTGCCCACCTATTCTATAGAACATCCAAGATATATAAGCAATAAATATTAAAAAATAAACTATGCTAAATTGTAAAAAAAAGCATTATCACTAGTTATTAAAGCATTTAGGTATTTTTAGATAATAAGTGAATTTAGAAACAATTTTTAAAGAAAACTATCTTTTTAATATATAGATATTATATACTTAATTATGGATTCAAAATTTAAAAAACTATTATAAAAACTTTGTAATAAATTTTAATAACAAATAATTCTTAATTATAATTAGCTAATTTTAAGTTAAATCAAATTGGTCAATATAGTACTAATAAGGTACTAATATTCTGATCTGTTAAAAATTAATGGAAATGAAATTTCTGGGAACAGGGCATATTATTATTTTATATATATATCAAGAACACAATTTATAATATATATACTAGAATATTAGAATACTAGAATACTGAACATGGATTGAATTATTACTATATATATTGAAAAATATGTTTAAAGATACTTTTTGTTGCAATAATACTGTAATATATAGTTATTGGTGCGTAGCGACCAATAACTGTATTATCCGTCAAATTATGATGATCAAACATAACGTGGAACGTGTAAAAAGTTTTAATTAAAAATATATAACAATAAATAAAAAGATAATATATACAGTCAAACCTCTCTATAATCATACCCTTGGTTTTAAAATTTTGGTGCTTATAGAGAGTTTGTGCATATATAGAGGTTAAATTTTATAAGTGTTATATAAGTTGGTTTTAAAATTTTATGTGATTATAAGCAAATGTGACTATAGAGGAGGTGACTATAGAGAGGTCTGACTATATGTATAAAAATCATGTAAAAAGCAATAGGGGTTTTAAAATTAAAATCAAAGAATCTTTTATCCGTCAGATTACTATAATCGGGCTGCTAATAATTATAAGATATTGGGCGTACGATGAAAAAAAATTCCCTGTTATTTTCGTATGTCCAATATTGATGTTATAGTTCATATTATATTAGCATGTGGTGTTATTTTAACAAAAATATCAAGGCAAAAAAATTTTACATGATCATGTCACATGAACATATAACATGAACAATAAATAGTACGTACTTATTTGGCCAAAAAAAAAGGTTAGTT